ACAGTAATTAATTATTTATATTGTAATTAAACAGAGATTTTGCTTAATTTATGCATTAAATATGCAGAGAGTCTGGATCTAGAACATACATATGGTTTCTCTAAAATAATCATATTAAAAAAGTAAAAAACTTTATCCTTTCTCTATTTTCCATAGTTTTATCTTTCTTTCTATTACATTTTTCGTTAAGTTACTTGTTGATATTTCTTTCAATACGGCTATGTGATGAGGTTGGATCGTGTAATAATGATAGTAACAGACAAAGAATAAGACTGTTGGATTGTGTAAGCATCATTGTAATTTTTAACCGACATTGATAACGAAAAGGAGGTTTTATGTTCAATGAGAAGGTAAAGATATGTATTTTTTGTTACTACTATTCTATTTCGAGATGACATTTCATAAATGTGTTTTTGCTAAGCAATTACTGGTCTCTCTGTGTTCTATTTAACGTTAATATAAAAAGCTCAACAACTGAATTAGCGATGTAATTTTATTTCTTTGTAATAAGAATAAAGCACAACTGATTAAATTAGAGGATAATACTTTATAATATTGTTAATACAGGTAGCAAGCATAAGTTGATGTGGTAACTTTAAATTAAGTTTTTTAACGTAGTATGGGGTAGACATACCTATCTTCACCCAAGGTGTGAATAGCAGGCGTTAATAGTTGAAGTTTGCCAAATATGGCGTATTGACAGTATAATTCTTGATGTGCATTTGGTTAATCGGAAATTTAGTATGGCTTGAACGCTCAAGGAGACCAAAATGGAATAATTATATTCTTATGTAACCACCAAATCGATATGATTCAATGTTGGTCGTTCATTATGTAGATAAGTAGTATATAAACTTTTTAAAATATTCAAGTAGCCTTTTAAACTAGATAATGAACAGAACGTTTTGGTTAATAATAGATAAATACTTAATTATTTCCTGGCTATGTTTGATATATGCTAATATGTTTTAATTGTCATCGGTGATAACGTTTTTGTGGTCAGTATAGTTTGAGGTAAGTCGAGCAAAAAGGAACAGGTCCGTTGTAAGGTCGGTATTTGAAAGGACTGCGTAAGTATTTATTGGTTCACGTGGCCATTGTGTAGTTAAGTTGAATTCACGATTTAATTCCTACATTTTATTAGCCTGGCTGTAATACTCGGGTGTAGATATAAAATTAACCAAAGCCTTGGACTGATTGCGCTAACGATAATACTTAATTATCTGAATGTTAATTTTATTTGACCTGTAAAACACGTTGTAGCAAAATTTTTGCTAAATGCAAAAAGTTTAGTAAACTTATTCAGTGTTAGTCAAATTAATTTACTCATATCACCTTAGGGAAGTCACCCGTTGTACTGTCTCATGAAAATAATTTAAAGGAAAAGAAAATCAAGGCAGACAAAGAGTATTACTGTTATATTTTGCAGTTATAAAAGTACGGCGTCATGAATCGTACAAGCACCGATTAATATTATATTTTGATACTAAATGTAGTATTTATTTATATTTCCGAAATAATCAGTGGCAATTTTATCAAAAGAGGAAAAAAACACCAATCTTGAAACTTTTTATTACGAAACAGCGATGTGTTATATAAAGAACGTCATCAATGCACACGAAAAACCTGTTACGAATGATTACGTTACGCCTTTGGTACACAACATGTCACAGTTATGTGTTATAAAGGGCAAGAGATTTTAGTTTTAGACAATGAAATTGGAACGACATTATATCCATTATAATTGTGCACACGAGTGGACCTACTTACAAGGTTGTTATAAATTAGAATTTCTTTATGTTCGAACAAGAGGAATAGTATCATAAAAAAATGTAATAAGAAGAACTTTAAAATATGATCTTGTTCTATCATTTCTTGTCCTTCATGTAATATAACAGTAATAGAGCACTTACTAGATGTCATCTGTGTTCTTATGGACGAAAGTGTTAGTGAACGCTACGAAATCGAAAGTAAGTAGTTGACCGTAACAGGTTTTGCGGTCCGAATCGAACTTTCAGACAATAATGGCTTTTATTCGTAAAGGGATTAGGAATGTTACATTCATTATGAGCTTTATAAATGAAAATGAGTTGGGTTGCCCGATGATGCAATAATAAAGATACCACTCACAAGTTCACGATGCTTTCTTCGAACGGGGTCACGGTCAAAGTTTGTAATTCCATCTCGATAGACAGCTAATTTAATACGTCGGTGTTGTAATTTGATTGTAAAGTGATGGTTTGGGATCAAAAGATGCGCTGCGTTTACTTTTAAATGATTGTCTGACCTTTTATTGAGGCTTACTTACTTATACTTTTTCCAATTCGTCTCGAGAACTTCAATTAATTTAACACTTCTAAATGGATTTGATTTTATATCAAATATTTCATTAATTTCGACAATTCCAAAAGAAACGTCACGTTAAAGTACCTATACTGTGTTCGCAATTAGTGTGTCAAGGGTCATGGTTGTCATCAAGATATTTCCTGATGGCACATGTATGTTCATACATTACATATCAATTTATAGTTGGCTATTGAAATGCTGCTGATTTAATTTGTAAACTATATTGACTCTCCCAAAGGTATCAAATTCTGTTTCTCGTGTATATTTTTTTAGAGAACACTTTTAATTATTTTCTATGTAAATTGGAATAAAAATATGTAAAGACCCAAAAGAAAATTTTACTACATACCTACAGAATAAAGCTTTTGATTTCTTTTTAAATTCTTCTATCCCCTTCATTCTTATTTTTATTTTTTTATCAATCGCATAAGTGAATAAGTAATGCATTTTTGATACAGCATTTAAATATTCGAATAATTTTCATATTTATTTATCCACTAGCTTTCGCCAGCGGCTTCACCCTCGTGGCTCCCAGGGAAATGTTCATTGGAATATAAAGTATCCTTTTATCTAAGTCAGCTAATACCCTATCTGTATACCAAATCATATCAAAATCCGTTCAGTAGTTTCGGCGTGATTGACGGACAAACATCCAAACAAAGAAACTTTCATATTTATAATATTACTAGCTTTCGCCAGCGGCTTCGTCCGCGTGGTTCCTAGGGAAATGTTTGGTGGGATAAAACTTATCCTATTATCTAAGTCACCTAATACCCTGTATATCAAATTTCATCAAAATCCGTTTAGTAGTTTCGACGGCTTTGGCTTAATATTATGAATATAATATTAATAGGATTAATTAGCTATCATTCAGAGCATAATATAAACTAAGAAAAGTTTTTCTATATGCTCTGATTCGAATACTCATCTCAAATATTGTAGGTATAATATAAACAACTATAAAATCATCGCAAATCTACAACGCTGCTAACTCGAGAGATAAACAGTTGTATACATAGTTAAAACAAGCCTAAATGTGTCAACGTTTGTCGAAAAGAACCTTTCGTATAGACAAAAACATGATATTATAAATTCGAAAGTGAAACCAAGGTCATAGTGAATTGAAGACGAGAACGTGATGACTAGATTTCTGCAGCTAAATTTATGTTAATAACTATTATGTGCTGTCACATACTAGCTTTGTGTTAGGTAACAAACGTATATTTGCATTTCGTTTGTTTTAAAAACGTCCTTGTTAGATATTGTGTGAAATGTACCTAAGGAAAAAAATCGTTTTATTTTTTATATATTATTATGCTATATATGTAACTAATATTCCCGTTATCGCGTCTAGATGACAATCTTGGTAGAACTAACCTAAACATATACTTGTAGTTCTTAACAATATACTCCTCTTGTTATTCCATGTTTGAAATACTTCAGTATTTTAGCTACGTCACAGTACAAGTCTAGGCTATGGAAACTTTAACGTGATGCAGTATGTTATTACATCAAAGCTTATTTGTAGATAAAGCATACATAAAGTTATTTCTGTTAACCTTATTATACTGCGAAGTCGTTGAAAAGAGGGATTCCTTTAAAAACCTGACATGTTGACATTGACGAAAATGGTGCACGTTAATTTGGAGCATAAAAACAGTTTTAATGTGGCGATTGCAATCTTTATTAGTACTTCCGATCACGATGCCGTAGAATCAGGTGATACTAAAAGAACCATCATAGAACTCAAGTAATTTAATATACGTAGCATTTATTTATAAATCATTAAAATACAAGAAATATTTTTGACGAAAGCAGTTACTATTAGGAAGTCGCTACCAATTGTTATTAAATTGAGATCGCGTATACATCACGTATTCCTTAAATTCTTAAGTATAAGTTCCGTATAAGGTATGAAAGTTTACATGTTATATAACACAGCACCTAATGCATGATCTAAATAGTCATATATCGCAGAAATATTGTCTAGTTTGGTTCGCGGTGTAGTACAACGATATTCGTGTTCATGTATCAATGTCTACGGTAGACTGGCCATTGTTCGCGTGACATTGGGCACCGGCGTTAAACTAATCGAAGGCCTTCCTGACCAAGACGTAAGCTTTAACGATTAGGGATGCTGATTTTTTTGGGCTGGACAATTTTGTGTATTTCCGCATTTCCCCAATTGTATTTATGATAGAATTGACAAAAACGCTGGAAATGTTTTCCTGTGATTTATCTTATCTTTGGAGTAAATTATACAGATTTCAAAATTAATTGCTATTCAGGATATTTTCATACGCCCATTTTATTAAAGAGAAATCAATAACACAGAACAAGAATTAAAAATATTTGTATATTTTGCTCTATGTTATTAGAGTGAAATCTATATTCAACTAATTTCCAGTAGAATAATTCGGATAAATTATTAGGGTTACCTAACTCCAATGAACTATTTCAAAGATCACTATCAATGTAGTTGCCGATCAATTTATTTCAATAAACGGTGTATCGAGCACTCTGAACAGGATTTAATTGTAAGCTGACCACCTTGACAATAGTAAATATTGAAGCTTAATATATAGCCTGATTGTATTTTTTTTTATTAATTTAAATAATAAGTTCATAATAATGTAAATAGTAAAATGTTGTACCTGGTCCAGGGACGTCGTCATAGTAATCATCGTCGTAGTCTAATACGGCGTGTAGTTGAGTTTTGCCTCCAGAGCTCCCCGTTTCCACTTTCGTGAAACCCCGGGGTCGGTCGGGAGGCTGCCCACTGCCACCAGCGTTAGCGTCACTGCTAGTTTTAGCACCCGTGTCCTGCGTTCTAGAAGGCGTTGATGCAGGTACCGCTCTATTCCCGTAATTGAAATTATTGACATTTTGGCTCGAACTCGTATCAAACTTTCGACTAGAAGGGGGTGTTGTTGCAGCTGGGTAAGGTGCACTAGTGTATCCACTATACGGCGGACGTGGAGCATTTGAGTTTAACCTCCTCTGCTCGTAATCGTAGTCACCGCTTGGATCGTGAATATACTGTCCGGTGTTGTCAAACTGTGAATTTACTTCCTGTACCCGTTGGTTATCCATCGGTACATCTAGTCGTGCGTTTTGTTGGTATATTTGTGTGTGGAGTTGGCTATTATAAGGATTGTGTGGGATGTCGTCGTGTGGATAATGGGTAAACTGATTAGGGGGAGGGAGGTAGGTTGAACCCGCACGCTTTCTTAGTTTGGTTCTTCTTTGTTGGTTTGCCGGTGGGGAAAATGGTTCATTGCCCGGTTGAGGGGGGTACTCTGCCTGTTCTGGAGAGTAGAGGAGGTCATTGAGGCCAATGTGAAGTGGGCCTGGAGTAGAAGTCGTGAGAACCGGAGTCGCCGCATTCGCGGCGGTCAGGGTGAAATTCACCAATGCCATTTCTTATTCAAGAGGCATTGGCGGCAAATGTCAACTCGTCACTATAATGTACTACTGGCAATATTACGGTCACGCTTGCATAATAATGTGAACGGCGTGGGATCGTCTAACTGCACGAGCGTCTTCTCATTGTAAGAACAGAGGACACTGCACTAGCACTACTTCACTACACAGATCTGAAACAAATAAAAACAAAATAAGTAAATATACGTCAATAATATTGTTCTTGCTGTGTTAAAGTTGTAGTAGACTAATGAACCCAGATTATAAAATAAAAGATAAAGTTTTCCAGTGATGATTTCAACCACCATAACATAAAATTAATTGTTTTTGGGTTCTTTAAATTTATGAGATGAGTGAGTCAGCAGCGTAACTTGAAGACGTGTTACAGTTCGCACATATTGTATTTGAAGCTTTATTGTCGATTGTCGTTTTATGAGTGGTTTTCCCCCGTTTCGTGATATCCTTGCTGCTCAGAATGGCATTCCACTTGAAAGGCTAGAGTCGTGAAGCCATTCGAATATTCCAAACGATTCGGACTTAAATTACCTACTTACAAAAATACGCCACATTATGAATCATTATCAAATTTTTACGTTGTTAATACTTTAAAAAAGAGTTTATTATTCTAAAACGGGTTGTCTAGAGTTACAACTTTTTTTCTCCTGCTTAAATTTACTATTTCGTAATTAGCAATAGATTATATATATATATATATATATATATATATATATATATATGCTGATATGTATGTAATAAATCCTATGGCAAAGCCAGTTTTAATTTTTAATAATTTTCTATAAATATTAACGTCTGGGTAAAACACAGCATTTTTGATATAGAGTTAGATTATATAACATGTGTGTTTTAGAAAGTATGTTTTGATTTTTAATTGTTATTCAACTAATTTTTATGTAGTTCAATATAATAGTTTCATTTCATTTTTAATAAAATTGTATTTTAGCATGTAACATGTATGTGTTATTATGTAAAAACTGGTACATACAAGATTGTCAAAGGATTTATTCAGCTAGCGTAACAAAATCTGATAAACTTATATCACTTTTGCTGACAATTTAGACAAATTAGTAATTTTAAATTAATTCAATATTAATTTTAATAGAAGTCGAAATTTCCTTAGCCATCGTCTGACATCTTCGTTTTGCGGCCTCAATTTTCAAGCTTAATCCTTTGTTCTTGTGTAAAATGCTTAAAGCATTTCAACTTTTGACCTTGTTAGTATATCGATGAAGAGCATCAGTATCACGACGAAGACGCTCACGCGATCCTGTTTTTAATATAATGATTTAAAATCTTACGTGAAAAGTGAAAGTTAAGTCTTTCTATACATAAGTACAACAAGACAACTTTCTGTACAACAAGAATACTATTTTGAATGAAACAATACGAAAAATTAATGATTTCATAGTTGCAGAACCCGTTTTCAATTTAGAATGATCAGAGTAATTACGTTGTCCTTTTAAATTCGATCTTCTTAGCGGCACATACGGCGATTTTACAATTCAATTCCCTGTCGATTCAATGTAAAAAATAAACTTTTTTTATTGCCTCGGATCTGGGTGTTGTGGTACCTTTAAACGCATTTTTTATTTATTATCTTATTTTCCGGCAAATGTTAATTGAAATACTTCTAAATAATAATATTTAGTAAAAATGAATAATGTTCTTCGACGCACACGAAATCGCTGTTATTTTACAAATTAGATGGAAACATATGACTGCGTGAGGAATAATAAAATGTTAAAATATCCTGGTTTAGATATACAAAATAAATTATTTGTACACTTAGTCTAAGTAATACTTTAAGTTTGTAACGTGGCTGTATGATTTAAGGTAGGAATATGCTGATGAGACTATTGAGCGTGGGAAACTTGTAAGCAGTGCATGGGAATCAATTCAACGATTAGTGAAAGACAGGTTACAAAGTTAGTGTTTCATATTGCGAAGTATCACATAAATGAAGTGACTGGTTTTTTCTATGACTGTACCAATTGTGAAGCGAACTAGTTTGAATATAAAACGATTGCTGTTTCAATTACGTATATTACAGACTGAAAGTTTAAGATTATAAAAAACTTCCTTGAAGTCGGTCTGGGTATTTGAAGATTTTTATTGTTTAACCACCCGACTTTAATAGATGTTTTTTGAATTATTATTCACTATCATATTAAGCTTTTTTGAAGTTGATTTTATTTTCTTACTTAAAAAACGACTTCACCGGATTTGATGAATGTGGTGTTGCCTAAAAATATAATTATGGGATCTAATGTCTAATTTGGGAAATATAAGTATGCAAACATACTATCCAACTTCAATAGCATTTTCTTGAATAAGTCGCTTATGAGATAAGTCTTACTTTTTAAAAGTTTAAATTCTTTTATAGTTTTTATAAAAAGTTTTAATTTCATGCTTTTAGTGATATTGATATTTTTTATATAAAAGGTAATGTAATAGATAATAAGTCATATTTTTAAAGAGGAAAGATTTGATTGCAAGTTTGTTTGCATTGGATAGGCACCGAAGCTATTGGACCGATTTTTTCATAATAATACGCGGCGGACATAGGCTTTAATTTACGCAGGCGTAGTCGCGGAGAAACAAAAGCTAGTTTGAAAAAAATTTCAATTCGCAATTGAAGAAATCTATTAACAGATCTACCCCTACTTTACTCTTTGATACCTACTATCTACACTATTTTTGACTTTCCTTTGACTTCCATAAAAAATATATATCAAAGACTAAAGTACAGATACTCTTTGAATATAGAAAATACTTTAAATCAATTCTAAATAAGAATAAATATCTATCATTACTACATTTAATGTATAAGATTTGGAACGTGAGTGTCAAACAAAAGTCACAGCGAAGTAGTCGACATGTTTAAGCAGACATTGACGAAGATTTGTCGTAATAAATGTGTTTTGTAGTTTGTTTTTTGTTACAGCTTTGTTAGATTAGTTTAAGATATATCGGATGAATAAGTCCGAAAGATAGTAAAGATAGTAAATTTTGAAACAAAATTTCTTATGTACTAATTTGACTAAAGTGCGATGATGCAGTGGGTAACGCGCTCATTTTGCGAGGCGGAGATTGAGCGTTCGCAAGGGGAACATAGGATGGGTGATCGAAAATTGATATCTTCACGCTACTCTGTGTTTTGGAAGGTCCGGTGGGTCATAAACAACAACCTGAGGGTATGGTTTTAATTTAAACTCGATATATTCACTCGTTCCCGAAATAGCTAAAAAGTCTTAATAAACAGATGGATAAACAAGTGATCCTATAAAGGTTCCGTTTTTTCCTTTTACTCTAAAATTATAGAAAAATAAGACATACTTAAAGAGCTTAATAAAAGGGTAAATAAAACAAGTAAACTTCTTTTGAGGTCGGGCGGTTAATAAATAGACTACGCAACATCATCATCGTTATGATCAGCCGTTCGACGTTTCTGGGCATAGGCCTCCCTCATGAGACTACGACGACCGGTCCTTTATTAGATCGTCGGTCCACCTGTCTGGGGGCCTACCCACTGATCGTCGTCCGGTACGTGGTCGCCATTCGAGAACTCTTCCGAGATGATGCCACTTCACTTAAGCAATCCATCGAGCATTGTCAGTTGCGTTTTTTTTTTCACAGATATCCTCTTTTCTTATTTGACAACGTATGGAAACACCAAGAATTCTTCACTCCATTGCCCGCTGGGTGACCTCGAGTCTTCTTATGAGACCCATCGTAAACGACCACGTACCAGCCCACGCATTAACCCCGCCCATAACATTTCTTTCATATCACTCGTCACAATCAAAATAACTGCGGCGTGGACTCATTCTAACATTAAATTCGTCGTTGTTTCTGATTATCACAATACCTACTAAAGCTTACCTTGGGATAATTAGGAATGTAAGACACGGTACTTAAAGGCTAATATTTGACAGGTGTCAAAATTATATTAGCTTTAGGCATATAATCCGTCGATTTCAAATGACAGTGGGGCTGTCAACACACATCATTAATTTAAATACGGTATGTGTATATTTATTTCAATACAGCATGTGCCTCTGTTAAATTGACATTGAAGTAAATATAGCAGAGGCAATATTATTGTAAATTTTATTAGTTGCCCCTGCAGATGGAAACCATAATATCTAGCATAATGTTAGTTTGGTATCGTACATAATATCTAGCATAATGCTCGTATGGTATCGCACGTAACTAGGCATCTATATTGCTAGATGCTTAGTTTAGAATATACAGACAAAAATTGTTAGCAGTATACAATTATTTCTCTATGATTCACTGTCGTTTGCACACGGTCGGTTGTTTAATAACGATTTTAAGCTCTAGTGCATGTTCTAAATTAGAAATTTTGTAACGGTAATCAATATTAATGAATATTTGTGCATTTGGGTGTTATTATATTTACGAAGATAACGTAACTATAATCTATTAGCGAAGATTTTTCTCTTATGAATATTAAAATTAATAATGTTAGTATTTAAAAAAACATAGTTAAAAAACCTTATTCGAAATTTCAGTTTTAATTATATAAATTGATAATTTAATTTATACTTTAATATTTACTTGTTTATTTTAATAGTACTGAACAAACTGTAAGTATATTGATAAAAGGGTCATTGATCTTTCTGTACACCAGGTATATCATAAGTTACAACGTGTTTAATAAGTATTTTAAAATTAAATCTTTTTAATTTATTTGTCTCCAATGTTAATAGTTAAAAAAAGAGAAATACATTTTTTTTTTGTATAATAGTTAATTTAAAGCATTTTATGAATATTGAAAAATGCACAAGCATTTAGACTACATTATTTAGAGAATCAAAACATGTTGGTGTTAACTTGAAACCCCTGTGAGATTTTTGACCGTAAAGCTTAATTTAACGTCGTACTAAGTTGACTCATTATATAATACCAAAACATTATTCAAGCTGATTTAATTCACCACTTTAGACCTGTTGTTTTTAGCGCACTTTCGCTAGTAACCTGAAACTGACTGAATGACTCAACAAGACAAATGTTAAAAACTGTATAATCTAGGTATTTCTCTGAATAATAATAGACCTACTGATTAATTCAAGCTATAAAAATACAACAAGTTCAAAATGAACACAAAAGACATGATATAATTTTAAAATAA